GCTTAGGGAAATGAGTGTAGAAAAGGACATCAGTGAGCCAGATGACACATCCAGTCTCTTAGTGAAGTTGGAGCTGGTTTGAATCAGCACTTGTTTATATCAGTAGTCGGAGATTGCTAAGAAAAATGCAATAACTTAATGAAGGAACTCTCACTGGTGGTTTTAATTACTTCTTGGTCAGACATGGAGAGAGCATAAAGCCAAAAAAAGTTATGGATCTCCTTTCTGATGAGATGCTTCCTATCGCAATAATGGCAAACTCTTAAGCACTTTTTGGACATTTCAGCAGCGTGTAAAGAAAGTCACTGGCAGAACCAGAGCATCACCAAGACTGTTTCCTGGCTTATGCTTATGGTGCTTTATTTGTGCTACATGAAGACTGCGTGTGTGGGAAGCCAGCAGATAAGAAAGCAGACCTGTGTTCCAGGGAGAAAAGAATGAAAGTGATTTCACTGTTCAGTCTCATCTGTTTATGTTTGTGCTCTCTTCAGGTGGAGGAGCTGTTCAAATGCCTGTAAGTTCTTTGTTTTTCACTTGAACTGCGCTAAACTGATAAGTGAGCAGTCTTAAGGACTGAGTGCATAGCTCAGTATTTCTTAACTTCTCCTTCCTCAGTGCTGGCATATGCAGACAGTGAGATTCTTTGAGAAAAAAACAGTCTTTAGCCCTGGGAAAGATGCTGTGGTATTGGTGAAGTGGTTTTGTTTGGTACTTTTTCTTTGCAGGCTGAGATTACAAACCGTAGGGAGTATATACAACTGTTGCAAGCTTCAGCTTATATAATTAGGTGCAAAAGATGCTCTTTTTGACCTCCTGTGTTTTATTTTCTTAATATTTGACACTTAAGATGGGAAAGTAAAGATTTTACTCTGGCTATATAATTTCTGTACAGTGATCACACATACATGGTGCTTTACACATAGTTAAGTAGCTGACTTCAGAGAGCAGGCTAGGGGTACTTGTAATTGGGTATAATATATAATATTATGTATATATATATAAAATATAAAATAATTGGGGTTGGACTAGATGATCTTTCAAGGTCCCTTCCAACTCCTAATATTCTGTGATTCTGTGATATATCTTGGTCCTGTGTGTAGGCAGCAGGATTCAAGGCTCACGTATACCATTCATGGGACATCAATGGTTAATTTCTGATTAATGGTGCTTGTCAGTGAGCATTGAATTCTGTGTGTGTAAATAATGTTGGCTTGGCCTGTCTTAACATTACTGACTCGTTACGGGCCCAGACTTTCTTTGAGCTCAGGTTAGGAGGCAAATGTACCTCTAAGCTATCTTTATTCTTCCTCTGACAGGGCAGCCAAGTGCTGAACCAGTGCTTAGAAAGAAAGAGCCACAGGGCTGTGCTGGTTTATCCTGTCAAAGGTACCAGTGGTTCTTGGCCAGGATCACCACAGCACGGCACAGCACATGCAGCCCTTATCTGAGCAAGCCCTGACACTTCTTTGACAATAGCCAAGTCTGTTGCTTCTCTTGATTAGCCCTAAGGCTGCACTGTCTCTGTCACAGTAAAAAAATAGAGTGTGTGAGGTAGTTGAAGGTCTAACTTACAGCAAAGTTCAGTTTCTAAGTGTTATTTTTTAATTTCCACACACTGATCCTGGCCTCAGGTGCATTTTGATTGCTGTAGGGGCAAAGGCAGTTTAAAAGGTTCCTATCCTTCCCTGCATCCTGCCCCAGGTTTCCATTCCTTCCTACTTTTGTCAGTTCAGCTGGTTGTGGGCAGCCTCTCAGTGCAGGTCTGTGATATGATCCAGGCTGGAGGTGTGTATTTTAAAGGCTTGGGGGTTTTCCCTTGTCATAATCTGGATGATATAATGGCTCTGCTGCCATCACTTCCAAATGTTTGAGTTTAGGCAATGGAGGAGGTAGTGACCTGTGTTGAAAGGGCAGAAATGAGCGAAACTAGGAGAAGGAAATGCTGAAAGTTTCTCCACCTAAAAAGCTCACTTGAGCATAAGGTAAACATTCACCGTCATGTGAAATAGCCTATACTTTTCAGATGCCTGAAGATAAGGCTGTAAAGCAAGTTACATGCTTGCTTGTAAACGTTACAAAATTGGAGGCATCTTCTGAACTACTGCAGTAGAGACAGCTATTTTTTAATTACCTTGTTTGTCAAAAATGTGAAGTTCATTCTTGCTGATAATGTCCTGCAGCGTGATACAGAAAATCTAGCAAAATCAGCAAAGACCTTTGCCAGTTACTTCATGGCACATAGTTGAAGGGCAGGTGCTCTCCATGGGTCCCCACCTCCTGCCTCGCTGCCTGCTGGATCCCTGAGTGGACACTTTTGCAGAGTAAGGCGATTCTTATCCTGGAGCAGTTCTGCTCCCAAAGCTGGTCCAGGCTGCTGTGTGGGGCTGGTTATGTTCCCACCTGGTCAAGGCCTTCTGAAACCAATCGTGCCTTTTTTCACCGCTGCCAGGAGTTACACAACTGGCAGTCAAAAGTTCAGAGGCCTCAGGGGGAGGCCTCGGGAGGACTTTGGTTTGTGAGGAAGCTCACTCCCAATAAGGAAGGATATGGATTAGAAATACCACAGTTGTTTCACTGTTGTTTTTTTGTTTGGTTGGTTTGTTTTTTTTTCTCTGCCTAAGACGTGGTGATGAGGCTTAGGGTATGGATTCAGGTAAATGCTAAAAAGGTGGGGATTTTTGCTGGATTTACAAGCTGCTGAACACAACTGGCAGTTTCGCTGCTATCAGGAAGAGAAATGTTGCTGCCTCCTCTTCCTCCCAGCATCCACAGACCAGTCTGGGTATTGCCTTCTGCCTGGCTCCGGCTGTGCTCATGGGATCGTTTGCAGAGCTGTCTGAGCTTGTGAGGCTGCTGGGAAACTGTCCCCATCTTTTATTCTCCTGGATTAGTTTTCTCCAAGGTTAGTGAGTTGATTTAGCTTACATAAAGGTCTATTGGCTGCCAGAGCTGCAGCAAGCAAGGAGAATTAAAAACCTAGTGTGGTGGAATAGAGTAGGCTTGGCCCCTTTTGACAGTAGTGATTTGTTAGATCGGTTCACCCTGTGTCAAGGAGCACTTGGCTGGTTGTAGGAGAGGTAGCACTCAACAGCCACCATCTTCTAGACTGGGACTAGACCCAAAGATGATGGTAGTGCAGTGTAAGGGTCTCACTGTATCTTCCTGCAGTGGCTGTGAGCTGCTTCCGGGCAGAGTCATCGTCATCACTACATCTCAGAGGATTATCCAGAGTGGCTCCCTGGTCCAGGTTCTCTTTAGCAGCTTCACTCTGCGAAAAGAACTACCTGCTGATTGATTTCTGGGAAGTGTTGGTTCACCAGGACCGTGGGTGATTGTAATTGCCATTAATGGATGGAATTGTACGGGGAGCAAGCACACGAGGTGCAGAGCACTTTCTGCGTTGTCATCCTGCCTGTGGCACATTGCCCGAACCAAGAAGGGAGAGGCCCCTAGCAGCAGCAGCAGCAGCAGCCTGCGTGCGAACGCTTTCAAGTCTCTGCCAGAGTTTATGGTTGCCCTTGGGTTTTAGGGCTGTTGCCAAAGCTAGGCACCTCTAGCACAGATCTACCTGAAAATAATTAGAGATGCTTATGTAAATGCCTGTGTTGTCTAATGACCAGATTTTTTTCTCATTGAAGATACATTTTTAGGTGAACATTCCTGAGGTTGTTCAAACATGTTATGGGAATAAAATATAAGGCTTAAGTTGCTTCAGGTACATGTGGGACTGTAGCTTTGATAATATATTGAAGGAAAAAAAATTCCTTTGTGAAGATTGTGACCAGTATTCAGAACCTGTGTTCTTGCTTTTCTGTTTCTACGTGCATGTGTGTATATACACAGATTAATTCCTGTGTTCCTTCCCCAAGCTAGAATAGGCCAAGTCTTAAGCATCACTAATATTACTATTAACTACTGTGTAGCAGTTCTGATCTTTAAACCCCTTTACCAACATCAGCAAAGTACTCTTCCCAGTAGCTTTGTGAGATAAAGTGATTTTTTCACCAAGTATCAGAGGAGAAATTGGAGACTTTCTGCAACTGTGTGCATGTGTGTGCGTGAATGCTCTTCAGGTTAGTGGGTCCAGTGCCCAAGGAATGTACATGCATTCAGTATGGCTGTTTGTCGAAGTATGTGCACGTGTCTAGAGTTTGCTAATTAATGCTGGTTGCGCAGTGCAAAGTATGTATGTGATTAAGTACAAACAAGTGACCCATTTATTGGAAATTAAGCTTAATGTAACTCAGAGTTATGCAGAGGAAGGCAGAGCTGAAAATGGATTCCAATCAAGCATTAAATTTTCTTCTTTTTTCTTTTTCCATGCTATGTCAAATGAAGCATGACTGTATGTAGAGATGTTAGCTTTTTTCTTTCCACTAATATGTTAACGTTTTCTGTTGCGTATATACCTATATCCAACAGAATATATATATAAAATCAGTTATGACCAGTGACCAAACACAAATATTTTCCAGAATTTTGAAGATGTTTATTTAGAGGATTTCGTAGTATACGCAGTACCATATGGCAGAAATTATTTGGGAGAAGGGGAGGGAGGAAATGCATGGCAAAAACAATAATATCAATAAATTAAACTGAAAGAAGTTTCCAGAAAACCAATTGCAGGAGAAAAATTAAAACTTTTAATTCAATTTATAAAGTACGAGACTGAACAAAATGACAGCACATCAGCATAAGAAAATCGCTTTCTGGGCAAGAAAGGTAAAAATCACAATTTTCCTTTAAGACTGAAGTTTCGGGCTTAGCCACAGCAAATCTTATTTCCTTGCTTTGTTCGAAGCATACTGCTGGATTGGTAAAACTTACTGTGAAATCCCAGCCCAATCTCATACGGGATTTTCATGAAGAGGAAAAAAATAGCAAGTCATCCTAACGTTGCAAATGACTCATCGATTGCCTTAGGAAATGCTCCCCTGAGACAGGCATGCCGCTGACGAGGAAGTGGTGAAGCCGCCCAGCCACTCCCCCAGACAATTTCGCTTCATAAGGGGCGCCTCTTCAGACACTACAGTATTTTATTCTTTATTTCACAGAGGGAGCGCAGAAGCTGCAAGAAGGGCAGCGCGAAGTAACGGCAGGAACTTCTCAGCCGGTTGGTTTTGTACGTGAGGAGCAAGGAGGAGAACATGAGAAAACTGTAAAGGTAGGGGGGAGATACGTTTTAAAGTCTATAATTTAGTATTGACTTTGAAAAATAGTAAGAGTGTAGGCTTTCTTTTAAAAACTGTAGTTCTTGGGAGGAGAACGGAGGAGAGCCGTTCTCAGGATGGGGTCATGATCATGAACAAGTTCCCCTGGTAAATGGGAGGCAGAGCTTGTCGAGATCCTGGCCACTTTGGAGAGAGGAGGTCCAGGAGGTGGTTTCAGAGGGGAAAGTTGTAATCTGCTTTCTCTGATCTACACTTGTAATGTTTTCATGAAGAATGATTATGAAGAACTAATGAAAAATGAGCCAGACAGTAGGGAATAAAAGTTGAAGTTTCTTAATCCACGTGAAAACATAAAGCATTTTTCTTAAAAGAAAAAGCAAAAAGTAGCGTGATACAAGGAGTGATCTAAGCACATTTCTTGAGTAGGTATTGTGGTTTCTCTATATGCATCATAAAGATACCGTTCGTGGCAGCTGGGTCTGGTGACTGCGTGGGAGTTAATCTGCCCTTAAGCTTCACACCATCCCGTCGCCACTGAGCAAACAAGAAGGTGTGCTGTGGAAAAGAATGGCACACTTTCGCTTATTTTATGTCCCTACATAGGAATAAAGGGAAACAACATGTCGTAGTACAATATATGCTCCTTTTTCACTCTGACTCTGATTGCAGTAGGAAGTTTGAGCCTGGCCAATGGCCGTGGTAGAAAAGCAGAAAAAAGGGGAACCGAGTGCAAATTAGATTCTGTGGTAGGAGTTTATATTGGGGTGGTGGAGCAGGAGGAGAAGAGGAAGGAAGATGAGGTATTTTTGGATGGCTTCACAATAGCCACAGGTGTTTTCTAGGTTTAGTTTCTACTACAAACCTGCTGCCCAGGGTTATGAGATACTATTAAAATGTAACTTTCCACGGGCAGAGGCACAGTCTGAGTTTCTGCTGACATTGCAGTGTGATTTCCTGGAGGGATAGGGCATTTTTATCAGTGATACGGCTGCGCTGGCAGCGGTCTCTAGGGTAGAGGGGGATTAATCTAACCTCGGAGGAAGGCAACAGTAGGATGGGTCGAGCACAAAGGGCTCCTAATGCAAAACTAAAGTGAAAAGAGAAGGGAAACTTCTTTGGTTTTCCTTTTTTCTTTAATTTTATTTGCCATGACTCTTCCAGTAGTACTGAATCAAGTCCTACCTAGTTAAGCAGTTAGAAACACTTTAATAAAGCAAGCAGATTTGTAAAGTGGCCAAGTATGTGTTTCTTTATTTGCTTTTTTGGTCTTAAAGATTTTGTCATGACTTTAGTTGATATTCACTGTTTTCTGTCAGCTGAGGAATCTGATTTTCACTCACTCCAGATCTTGTCCTGCAGTTTGAAAGGCATTGAGAATTTTGCCAGCAACTCCAAAGGCTTGAAGGACTGAAGCCATGATAAATTGGAGCTTTGCAAATTAAGTACAAAGGCTCAGTTTAGAAAGAGTATTTGAAGACAATGCAATGTCTTTGTGGCATACAGCAGTTAAAGTCTATTTTAGGACTTAGGGTGGTTTTTCTGTGGAAGTAGTCATCTGATTAAAAAAAACCCACAACTGTTGTGAAACTGGACCAAGTGTGATCACTACATTTCATGCCAAAGTTAGTTACAATGCTAAACTGAAGCAATAATAAATACAGGCATGTTAAAAAACTGCAGTTTTCAGAAATTGTTTTCTTCATGCAGTTGTGTTCATTCAGTTGGTAAGGCTGGTGATTGCAGGTTATTACAATGCTGTATATGACTGTTGTATTTTCCTACTGATCTGTGCAGGAGGAGGGGAGAAGCACTAATTAGGAAAGTCTAGGGCAGATGAAAAGAGTAAAATAAATTAATGGAATGCCTGTGTCAGCAGGTGTATATCCTGGAGTACTCACTACGAGGAGTTGCTGGAGTTGCATCGGTGTGGAAAACTGAGCTCTGCAAGGAAACGCAGGGCTCCAGCAAGCAAGAAATTTCATAGCTCAGTGTCTAACAGGTACCGAGCTACTGAAGGATGGATTAAGAAGATGAAATTTTCAAAAGCTAGATGAAAGCAGAGCTCAGAAAATTCAACTGCACTTACGCTGCCTTATCACAGTATTTGCTGCTGAAAATACTAGTTTTTGGGTACTGTGGGCAATGTTTCAGTGTTCCCTAACTGCTTTGCTTTTCTCTGTTCAGGCACATATGGAAGGGAAGCCTCAGAAACCGCTGGAAATGAACGGGCATATGCCAGTGACACATCCTTATGACTACGATCTCATTGTCATCGGTGGGGGCTCAGGTGGTCTGGCAGCTGCCAAGGTATGAGAGAGAAAATACAGATTTATGCTTTCCTTGTAAGTAGGTGTGTGACATCCTCAGTGTCCTGGATCTGGGTACCTTTAACACTGTAGGGGCGTAACATTTCTGCCTGATCAGTGGGATTTCTTTCGAGGTTAGCCCCAGTTATACCATACTCTTTTCCTTATATTCTGTAGATGAAAAACCTAAAAATGTCATAGTGTACTTCTTAACGGAATGAAACTTGGTCCCCACTAATGGGAGATGGTGCCGTTGGAAAACAGGAGGTAGATATCTCAACAGTGTTTATTAGTAGTTGAATTAAAATACAACTCATCACTGAAAAAGTTTTTGAAACTATTCAAAATTAACAACAGGAGGTTTCTAGTCTTACCTGAAAATAATTTTTGTTCACAAATAGTTGTGTATGTTGTTTTAATTCTTGACAGTGGGGAAGATTTTGTGATTTGTGAGCTTATATAATTGTATAAATGGTGATTTTTGCCTATACTTAAGCAGAGTTAGGGTCCTACCATTGATTTCTAAGGTCTGCTATTTCCTGTATGTAGCCAACCAATTTCTTATTTTTGATTAGAGTGTTGCTTTTAGAAGCATATCTAGAATTGAAAGAATCCACAGTGGTGCAGAGTATACCAGCTCTTGGAGTTGTCATTATCCAAATGTTTGAAACTTGCTGAAATTTACTGTAAGTCGGTAACTCTCGTTTACATCAGTAGTTAGGTACATTTTTGCTTGCCGTAGTAGAATTACCTATTTAGAAGTGAATTGAGCATTCCTAGAACTAAAAATATTTCATTGCTGGATTATTCCTCCAGACAGGAGGCATTTCTTTGGTTCTCGAAGTGAAGGAGGTCGCTGAGAAGTGAAAGAAAGCGAGGAGAAAATATTTCAGCATAGCACTGGATTCACACTAAATCTTGGTTCTTTAGAAGAACTTGTGTTATAATGCAAGAGTGCAGTGCTGAGTGGAAGATTAATGTGCTGTATGTCCATAATCTATTTCAGTAGTTTACTGCTTTCCCGTCGATAGGTGCACTATTGTCATGGTGTAGGATGGAAGATAAGATCTATAAAAATACTGAGAACCTGCAAAGAGAGGCAGACACTGGTTTTCAGAAGATGGGGATGTTTTAGGACAGAAGAGAGTAACACAAGTAAAAGGGAGCTTGCAGTAATGTGGAAACAGTTTGCAGTAATAAAAAGCCATCTGTTTGAATTTCCATGAGGAGTTTACTCTGCTTTGTTGTATACATATGCTGGGTTGTGAAGCTACAGCAGTGATGTTTATTGCATCATTTTTCAGCTGTGGGACAGAAAAGGTGTGTAGCTGGAAAGATAAATTGCCTTATTCCTTCAATTCAGTGTATAAAATATATTGCTGCTTAGTGTTCTCAGGTGATTGTAGAGTACAGCAGAAGATGGTAGATCAATAAAGTCGACATCAGTATTGGAAGTAATGTGTGTATTTCAAATCACTTTCATGAATTTGAAATGAAGCTGTTTTACATGCATAAACTATATTATTCAGGGTTTTTTAGTGAATTAACAAACAGTGCTTTAAAAAAGAAAACAAAAGGAATAAAAGCCTAACTACACAGGTATCTACACTCAGGTTTGCAGCAGTTTAACTAGGTGGATTAAATGTGTGCTTTTCACTATGACACACGCAGCTTTGTGTGCATGTCTTCCTCTCTGTGTTGTGCTCAGAGCTTGGTGTCTTGGAGGCACTTCTCCACAGTGAGTGCAAACACTGCCAAGCTGACTCCTTGCATCCCAACCGCAGACCCAGACCAGGCCACTACTATCAGTTTACACAACCTTGCTGTGTTCTTGCAGCACTGCGCTGAACCCAGTAAGGTTTGAAAGCCTGCGGGGCAGGTGTTGTTGCTGTGGGCACATCACTCTGCAGAGGTGGTTATCTCTGTTTGAGATCTCTACCGAGGTGGTGGTGCAATGCTGTGCTGTATTATGTGGGTGTGTAGCTGAGTGTAAGCTCGGGAATCCATGCATTCTAGTTAGCTAATGTTAGTAAAGCTCTTTTGAGCTGTGTGTACGAGTTGTCATTATGAAGAAGCATTAATAATGCATCTCAGTCCCTAAGCGCCTTTCTGAGGAACTTTCTCAGAGGTGCTGCTGATGGATAGAAATGAGCTTCTTGCCCAACCTTGGCCTTTATCAGAAGCAAAACTTCAGTGCATTAATATTTTCCAAAGGTGTCTACAACCTGTGTTGTTTGAAATATGATTTGTATTTTGCCTGAAGTAAGATAAATTTAAAATTGAAATTCTGATTGTCAACTATTTGGATTAACGAGTATTACTGGTAACATAATGCTGAGTGCTCTCCAGCTCCTCCCAAGCCAAACCCAAGGCCTCAGGGCAATAACCTGTGCCTGTAGTTGCTAATGCTTACATGTCTAGGAACTCATTGTGTGATGCAGGACAGCTGTGGTTACTCCATGTGTCAAAGTTATTTTGCTGCATCTCATGGGGGAATGTCTCATTGTTGTTCCTCAGCTATGTAGTGCTTACTTAAGTGTTTTTCTCTGGTACTAGTTATTGCCATCTATTTTTACCTTTTTCTTAAAAAAACACAAAGGGAACAGTGGAATTGGCATAGAAATTCTAGTTCTCAGTATCATTTATGCACATTGATTGTAGATTTACTCATGAAAATTCTCAGGGGACGTATCATGAAATAAACCATCACTTTTTGAGTTTGGATGATGTCTGCATATGCTGACAGTAAAGTCAACTTGCTGTAGGTTGAGTAGCTTGAAGAGCAAGAGCTGATCCTGGTAACTACAGATTGTATACAAAGTTGAGTGTTCCCCTTCTACTGCAAGAAAAAAGATGAGATGAGCACAGTTGTAATGCTTGGCCATGTGACTGCTTATGTCGTCGTGTGATGTGGTTTCAAGCAAACGTTTAAGAAACCGTCTTTGAAGGGAAAACTGGATTAATGAAGAATTTGTTAAATGTGTTAAAAGTAAATGGCATGTTGGGAAATAATATGAACAAATTGACAGGATGGAGGAGAGAAGATGAGGTTTGACCACCAGAGTCTTCTGTGTATCAGCTGGTGTTGTGCTGTTGTGTAGCAGGACGAATGCCTATTTTTTTCCTTTCATCTTCTTTTCCTACTGAGTGCACAGATTAATTCAGAAGATTAATGGCTGTTCCCTTGCAAATCATTCATTATGGCTTAATTAAAAGTCACAGAGCTTTTCAGCAATGCATGATGTTATCATCTACTCCAAATTTAACCTCTAATGTTTAGATACATGTCTTTTTAATTTGTTTTGCAGGAGGCTGCCAAATATGAAAAGAAAGTGATGGTGCTGGACTTTGTCACGCCTACACCTCTGGGAAACTCATGGGGTAAATTTCTCTTCATTGGAAACCTGCTATAAGGGAGTTTTGCTCAGAGACTCTGATTCTCCTTTGAGCTCAGCCACACTGGTTTGAAAAACACATTCTGTTCCTTTCTCTCAGGTCTTGGAGGAACATGTGTAAATGTGGGCTGTATACCTAAAAAACTGATGCACCAGGCAGCTTTACTGGGACAAGCCTTGCAAGATTCACGCAAATTTGGGTGGCAGTTTACCGAAGAAGGTAAAGAAGGAGAAGGCTTTTTTTACAGTTTTGTCACTTGTGCTGAAAATCCAGAGCTTCTTTTCACAATCAAGTGCTTGTTTTAAGCATGTGCTGACTTTAACACTGTGAGGCAACTTCAGAGAGTTTGCACAAACTTCAATGCTTTTCAAGCCTTATTGCCTGCAGCGTTTGATCTGTTTATTAATAGCTTCTTATCATGCTAGTGTTTTAGAAGATTGCTGTGTGAATAAAAGCAGTAGGGTACTACTACTCCATTGCTGAATGTAACATAACATCTAAGAGAATACCCCAGAATGTCTCCTGTTAGAAACTTCCTCATAATTGCAGGCAAGGAGTTCCTTTCCCTCAGTCTCTGTCACTAGTACATAAGAAGATGGATTTTATTTTACATTAGCTCTAATGTGCGTGGTCACAGGACTGGAATTCATTTAGGCTGTAATCTTGTAGTGGGGGGCATGCAGAGGCACCTCTCAGAGATGCGTAGTCGTCATTTTTTGAGCAGTGTCACAGCTCACAGCATGTGTCAATAGAAAGCTATTGATAACACAGTAAGTCTAAATTTTCCATGTTTAAAGTCCTGTCTGTTCCACTGTGACCTGTCATGTTGTCTACACTGGTGTAATTCTTCAGAATTTCAGCAGAGTTACCCTGGAATTAAAAGGGCATAAGACAAAGGTGACTGTGTCATGAAAAATACCTGCCTGAGAATACAAGGCTCACTATGGAAAAAGGAGAACTCACAGACTGAAAGCTGAACCTTTCTCTTTTGTTTCTAACAGTCACACACAACTGGATGACTGTGACAGAATCTGTTCAGAATCACATTGGTTCACTCAACTGGGGCTATCGGGTTGCACTGAGAGAGAAGAATGTCACATATGAGAATGCATACGGAGAATTTGTCGGGCCACACACAATTAAGGTACTCCCTAGCCATGTTTGCTGAGTCAGCCTGTAGTACTTTCTGAAGAGAGATGCTTTTAAAATTGAGTAATTTTTCCCTTGGTAGGACTGCAAAATACTCACTTTGGAGTAATGCTTTGTCCACAGGCAACGAATAAAAGGGGTGTTGAGAAGCTGTACACAGCTGAGAGATTCCTCATTGCCACCGGTGAGCGACCACGCTACCTAGGTATACCTGGAGACAAGCAATACTGCATTAGCAGGTAAAAGCACAGAGGAATATGAAGTCACTCACCGCGTGTTAATGCTTCACCTGTGAGAGAAAGTGGTGAAGCATGAGCAGGGCTACTTGGCTGCTGGTTTTCTTTCCTATGTCATTTTTTGTTAGGGGAAAATAAGCCCAGGAGAACAGCTATAGACAGATTTTAAGGTGCCAAAAACATTGGTGTCCAGTAGACAACACAAGACTGTGGGTGGCTGCCTAGGATGGTTCTGTTTCTGACCAATAACAGCAGTAACTGAGAATACCATAAATCATCTGCGTTGTCCATTAATTCATCAGGTCTGCCCCAGTTACCAGTACACCCACTTCCTCTCTATTCCCTATGGTCTTTCAGTTCATATTCTGAAGGGTTTTTTTGGAAATGAAGAGCACAGTCTGCTTGCAGAAAACCTCCCTGCTCAAATATCAAGAAAAGCTGGAGTTGCAAAGCAGTTGATGTTGTGAAGCTGGTAGAAGAATATCTGTCTTTGTGTGTTGGGGCAGTCTTAAAACTCAACCCAATTTTTTTGCAGTTACTCAGTGAAGTTAATTCAACTTTTGGGAAAACCAATTAAAAATGTCTCATTAATTGATAAAACCAAGTAATGCTAGTAATTTTGACCAAAAATGTGATACGCAGGTGAAATGTGTTTTACCTGAGTAACTTTTAAGTTACTTCATGTAGAAACAGAGGTTGGAATCAAGGGCTGTGGTTAGTAGGTCAGGAGAGGTTCTCATTCCCCTCTACTCTGCCCTGGTGAGACCTCATTTGGAATATTGTGTTCAGTTCTGGGCCCCTCAGGTCAAGAAGGACAGGGAATTGCTTGAAAGAGTCCAGAGCAGAGCCACAAAGATGACTGAGGGAGTGGAGCATCTCCCTTCTGAGGAGCGACTGAGGGAGCTGGGTCTCTTTAGCTTGGAGAAGAGGAAACTGAGGGGTGCCCTCATTCATGGTTATCAATTTGTAAAGGGCGAGTGTCAGGAGGAAGGAGCGAGGCTCTTCTCAGTGACAGCCAATGACAGGACAAGGGGCAATGAGAACAAGCTGGAACATAGGAGGTCCAACCTGAAGATAAGGAAAAGCTGTTTTACTGTGAGGGTGACAGAGCACTGGACCAGGCTGCCCAGAGAGGTTGTGGAGTCTCCTTCTCTGAAGACATACAAAACGCGCCTGGACGTGTTCCTCTGTGACCTAGTCTAGGTGATCCTGCTCTGGCAGGGGGGTTGGACTGGGTGATTTTTCGAGGTCCCTTCCAACTTCTAACATGCTGTGAGTCTCTGAATTTCAGGCTTGCAAGCCTATGGCAATGAAATAAATAACTGGCATAATTCCTGTGAAGCCAGAACACCATGTTGTACATTTCCCTTGTAATAAGTAGTAATGAAATTAAAGGTAACAGATAATATAGCCTGTGAAGTGGTGCTTTAAAATAACATTGAGGTGGAAGAGTCAGGAATGAGAGAGTTAAAAAATATCAGATTGAGGCACTCTGTGTAATCTTAACACAGAATAAGAACTGTGATGTAGCCTTTCATTACACCGTCACATTTTATTCCACCCCAACATTTGAGGGAGCATCTTTGTTTAGCCCTTGCAGTTGCTGGCTGATAAAGACACATTTATTTTAGATTTCAATTTTTGGAGAATTGCATTGCCGAACCCTGCCTAAGTCTCTGCTGAGCAAGTGTGATGCCACCATGAATCTCTGCTTCCTTGAGAAGCCCTGCTTTTGTAGTCTAGGTCTGAGGCGTGGTAGAAATGATGTAGCTTGATGAAGCCACTGAAAGAAAGGGAAAGCAGGCAAATGAACATGTTTTCAGTAATTATGTACTTCTGTCTCTGCCTGTTACTGTGGTTTGCATTAATCTCTTTTATTGTCTGCGTGTATTTGGCAATGTGTAGAATGCTTTAGCAAAAGGATAAGTCTTCAAAGAAATGGAGTTTGTATTTTTATCTTGAAGTTTATCTTTAGCTCTCAGGAGCTAAAATTTGCAGCAAAATACCTAAAGCAAGATTCAGAGAAAAAACAACCTACCTTTTTAACTACTTGCCATAAGTTTCTGTAAAAAGACCTCTAAATTTTTATGGTGATTCAGTGTTTTCATGCTCTTTTTTTTTTTGTGTGTGTGTACTCCTAATTAGAACTTTCTAATCTGTCATGTACTGTTCTTGTATTCCAGCTGAAGTTCCAAAAAACGAAGTTGTGGGGGGTTTTTTTGATGAGCAGGAAGACGAGTAAAGTCCTGATCTTACAAAAGATATTAGATAAATATAAAGCACAATATATTATTCTGATTTTCTCTAACCTGTGTTTCTTTTTTCCCCTCTGTTTTTTCCAGTGACGATCTTTTCTCTCTGCCTTACTGTCCAGGGAAAACCCTGGTGGTCGGAGCCTCCTATGTTGCCTTGGAATGTGCAGGATTCCTTGCAGGTCTTGGGTTAGATGTCACTGTAATGGTGAGATCCATCCTCTTAAGAGGGTTTGACCAGGATATTGCAAACAGAATTGGTGAATACATGGAAGAACATGGAATCAAGTTTATTCGGGAGTTTGTGCCAATCAAGGTAGGCTCAAAATGGTACATAACTGCAATTGATTGCAATTTACTTATCATAATGTTTTAAGAAATAAATCATTTTAGTGAATATAAAATTTGCAATACAGGATCTTAAAATGATTTAAGTCCATAAATCTTACGCAGCTGAAAGGTACAATTAAGCCTTTGCATTAAAATTTTGTAAGATTCCAGAATTCCTTGTCTTTATAAGAATTAGATGAGATAGCATATATGTTGCAGTAAAAATGTTGTTACTCCTGCTCATCCTGGTCCTGCAAATGTTGAATATACAGAAATTCAGCAGTTGTCCTGAAACTTGTGAAGCTTCTTGCAGTCTCATAGTTAAGCAGATACATAATTTCCTGTAACGATCATGGACAGTGCATCATAAATAGTCATATTTTTCATTGCCAGTTCTCAGATTCTCAGCCAACAAATACTGCCTGTGTGCCCAGGACCAGTGGACTATCCAGAAGAGCAAATGAGCATTTTAAGTGTATCCATCTATATCTTTTACTTGGTAGAGTCCTTACATACTTGCTCAGTTTTCTTTGAATTCAACAGGAGTACTCAAGCAGCTAGCTATATACATGAATAGGCAAACTGAGGTTCAAAAGAGATTAGATAAGCACTGGAGCTTTTCTAATGTAAAATCACCTTATCAAAGACTTCAGAGGGTGCTAACAGTATTTTTCTTAATGTTCTTTCTAAATAATTAGTGCTTAATTATTATGAAATAGGAAATAATGTGTTAAGCAGTTTTCAATTTGGCATTAAGCTAGTGTGTTACCGAGTTTAACACTTTAGGGATTAAAGCATTTAAATTGTGTGAAGACTGTTCACTTTCACCCTTAGCAATATCAGGAGTAGCTTAAAAGATGCTCCTGCCTGTTACCACACTGTGGATCTGACCCCCTCGCGCAAAGTGTAAGAGATGGGCTGTGAGAAGTCAAAGTGGATGTTTCAAGGAACTTGGTTTTTTTGGGTGTTTGCTTTGCAGGAATCCCGCGTTGTATGAAAAGCGGGGATTATTATCTAGATTTGGTTTCAGATGGAGCTTTCTGTAGGCTCCAATGGGGGATGAAAAAGAAGGAAGCTGTATTTACAAGCAGATAATTTCAACTAAATGGCGAGCAGGCTCCTCTAGATGCACTTTGCTAAAAGGAGTCCATCTCCTGAGTCACAAAATGCACTTTTGTGTGTCTTACCCTGTCTCTTCACTACATGTCTTCCATTTCAATGGGAATAAAATATTTGGCCCTGTTTTCAGTTGAGCATATTCTTAAACTTAAATTGCTGGGTATGTTTTTAGCAAGCCTTCTCATCTCTTTCAGATGTTTTTGAAGTTGTGCATGTTGTGCTTATTAAAACCCTTTGTTGGGACATTTGAAGACAGGAGATGAGTTATTATAAATAATGCTGCCTTTGAATAGGATCAGTTTAGCACAGTGATCCTTTAAAGTTGGTAGGATGGCACGGAAGGTCTAGGCTTTTTTAAATTAAAGGAGGGGAAGAGAACTTCATCAGAAATTTTGCTTTTTCTGTCTGCAAATACTGAATATGAAGTCGAAACTAGGGCAGCTGTTGAAAAGTACTTTTTCTTCTGTCAAATGAACACTAAAAGTTTCCCAGAATTAAGTGTTGTACACGTACTTGTCTCTTGTAGGCGCAGCCAGTGGTGGGAAGCGGCTGGGGGCCTTGCTGTCCTAGGGAGGGGAAGGGAAGGGAAGGACTGCAGCTGAGGAGATCCAGTCCTTTCCTTGCCATCCAGTGGATATTAGTGAGGACAAAAGAGAATCCGCCTGTGTGGCTTCAAAGTCCATTCACTTGTTTAGTTGATTTATTTATCAGAGCAAAAAGGAGTGTGTAGAAAAAAAGCCAGTGGTACTGCTCTTTTTGTTTTCTGGTATATGGAGGGACAGGGTGCGGAAGGTGGGCTACAGGTCCAAAAGGATTCACCTTTGGTTGGTTTTGGGGTTGTTTTTTTTATTCTGCATTACTTGAGAGAGTGTGCAGCTGAATCAGTAGCTAAAACTAGGACTATTTATTTCAGCTGACTCTGGGGAACTCTGAAGAGGTTTTTTTTCTTAAACTGCTGGTGTTTTTTCAGCCATTTAGAGCCAGCTGCTGCCCTCTCCTGTAAGGCCGTGGCAGCTTTATATATTGGACTAATATTGAAGCAGGGCAAAGGCCTGTACTACTGAGCTGGGCTACGATTGTAGCTCCCCATTGGTGGAAGGCACAATGGTCCTCAAGGTGCGGTTGAAGTAAATGTCTGATGCTATTTCAAGGTTTTGCAAGAGTTCCTTTCCTCCTCACCTCCTCTGTTCTCAGTTGATACCAGGGACAGCTGGCATGGTGGGCTTGGACAAGAACTTGGATATCAGTCGACTTCTTATAAACAGAAACAAGGTCTCATTGTGCTGATCATATGAATAAATGCATGGGGATAAAACATAATGTTTAAACATGCAAGTGGGAATCACAAACCTGGAGAAAGGTGAAAATATCTTGAGAATGAATGCTTGAATTTTAGGTTGTGGTTAAACACTCATTTTCAGTGATATGGTATGTGGTGGGGCAGAGATAAATTTGCATGTATTTATTTGAAACTAAACATTTTGGGTTGTTTGGTTTTTTTTTCCTAATGTTGTAGGTTGAGCAGATTGAGGAAGGAGCTCCTGGAAGATTGAAAGTTACATCCAAGTCCACAGATGGGAACCAAATAATTGATGGGGAATACAATACTGTGAGTCCTGTCTATATACATAAAGAATGTGGAATAGCCTTCCATTTAATGATAAAGGTTTTGTGGGGTGTTTTTAGCCATAGTTCAGATTTTTTGAAATTGTTTTTAATCCTTGCAATATGCTAATTGCACACAATCAACAGGTAATTAATGTGACAAAAGTCCCAAAATCAATGGGCATGAGTCCATGTGCCTTACCAGATTACTTGAGTACTTTTGAAACCTGTTTTTTAGCATAGGAATGTAGATGGACTTGGTCATGTGGAATCAGTTGCAGGATTTTTCCCCGGTGGGATATTTGTCATAAACTATAAGTAATGATTCTTCATAACTTTCATAGTAACTAAAGCATTCTGGAGTTAGCACAAAACAGCGGTCTGGGCAAGAGCTAAGCAAAGAGATGTCGTGTCTTTTCAAGACCTGTTGAAGCAGCATCTTCACAAAAACAACTAATGCCCTGCGGCAAGTCAGGGAACTTCATTACACACTTAGAAGAGTAAAATTGCCGTGTGCAGAAATGCTGTCTCCATCACTCCTCACTCCCCTCATTTCCTTAGGCCTTGATGCTGAAAGTTTAAAAAAATAAAAGTTATTAATAGAGTATTTGGAACTACACAGAATGCATTTGGTAGCCTGAGATTTTAGGCTGTGAATAGTGTGTGCCAGTGGCCTCACTTATCTGCACAGTGCATCAGTCATCCCATAGCAAGGACATGCCTCAGTGCATCCGAGCGCTAATATTACAAGCAAGTTTAACAATGATAACAGAGCTGTTGCACAGTGTTGTAAAACCATTTTTCCTGGCCCACAGTAGTGAAAGCTTTTTAGCTAGCAAGTCACTGCCATCTTTTCATAAGGAAACTTCTGATTTTTTATTGCTGCTACATCTTTCACTGAAATGCTGTCACTCCTCATAGAAGCTGAGCTGTGTGTGATGCATATTAAGACCTTCAACTTCGAAGATGTGGCATGCTTGGTCATCTAAAAGACTTGAAGCAGGTCTCCAGTTCCTTCAGCACAGTTCTTAGTTGTCACATGAGAAGCATTGTGTAGTTACCTGGGCAGTTGTCCAAGACTGCAGAGCACATAGCACTTTTCCTTGTGACAGTGTTGGCTGGAACTTGTTTTGCTGGTTAAGGTAGCCAGGTTGATAAGATGGGTAAGAATTTGGCCTGGTCTGTCCATCATTCTGAACTAATGTTCAAACAAATAGTATTCAACAAATAATATTCTTTGGTAGTGACTTGGCTAAGAGCCTATATAAATAATATTTTTCTGATCAGAATAAAGGTTATTTTATGGTCTTTTTATTTGCCTTAAGTGTCTGAGTTTCCTTCCTAAAAGAGCCCTTTCCTTATGGAGCATTTTGGAGTCACTGCTCTGGTAGAGATATGGTATAACACTTCAGTCTAGAAGTATGAGGAAATAAAGGATCTGACCTCAACCATATTGTTTAGGATGCTCAAGGGGTATTTTTCGAGGGAAAGCTACTTGGCTGTATTTCATCTTTCTTTTAAAACCTGATATTGTGAGGTCACGGTGGTGGTGTGGCTTCCGTTGAACTCTGTGAGTGTGCAATGGATAACAAACATGTTCACCTTAATGTGACTAAGCCCTAGATACTAAGCCTTAGTATACAATGAAAATAATAGATAACCACATGCAAATGCACTTTTGAGGGTTAAAAAAAAAATCAATAACATGCATTGCTGTTTTGCAGGTGTTGCTAGCAATTGGAAGGGATTCATGCACAAGAAATATTGGTTTGGACAAAGTTGGAGTGATGATCAATGAAAAGTAAGGGCGGATATCTGTATACCACTGACTGCTGAGCTTGTGTCCTTTACCGTTGCCATGGTAGTGGTGGGTAGACATTCAGATGCTTTGAGGAAACATTTGATTCCTGTTTGCGTACACTTGGGTAGGAGACTGTGTGGCAGGTAGCTGCATTTTCTCCCATAGTACTGCCACGTTTCCTTTTTTGATACTGAAATGTCAGCTTCAAAAAGCTGGGAGTCAAAAGTGTCTGTTCCATAATGGGTAGGTTTGCAGGTCAGTCTCAGCTTCTTCCAGTGATGGGTCTTGCTAGGATCTGTCCTTGTACTCGCTTATTCCCATCTACTTGTTTTTAGCTCTTTCATCTCTTCAGGGAGAGATCTTTTTGTTCATACAGGATTTCAGAGTGGTGGGGTTTGTTTATATTTTTAATGTAAATGCTTCTATATGTGTATTTTGAAATTTAAGGTCAAAGTAGCATTCCTTAAACTCACAGTTGGAGTTGTTGCTATGTTTTAGGTTTTGGAGGGGTTTATTTCTTGACTTAGAGCAAGCCTTGGGCATAATCTGTTCTGTAGAGGAGCATTTTGTGTTTAATGTAGTGAGGTCATTGCACCAGGGAGTGGAGCTATCAGTAACATTTTCAGTATTGGGAAATAAAACATCTTCTAGGCATGTGAGGCCTACACGATCTTCCCTTTAAAGACAAGACACAGGACCGTGAACTTGACTTGGCAGTCTATGGAAAAACAGTGCAGAGGGCAGCTTATATATGAACGCAGTGACTGAAGTTGCTGAAGGGAACTGTTGCGATGTTCTAAATAAGTGAAAATTTTGGTCTGCTCAAAATTGGCAGACCCATGTTGTCTTGTAGAACAGCACACATCTTTCTGACATCAGGACACCTATTACTAGCTTATCCAATGTGTAAATTCCTGTAGTTCTGGTTAAATTTGCACTACTTTGCATTATGGCTCAAAATTGTAAGATTGTGAATATTACTTCTTTCCCTCATACTTCAAGTAAGTGTGTTTCACTTAAAGCTAAAGGGCCCGACTCCTGCAAGGTTATTTATGCCTCCAGTCTTCACAGCAGCACATTTAGATCTTTCTTGTTTATTCAAATTGCAGAACAGGAAAAATTCCCGTCAACGATGAGGAGCAAACAAACGTGCCGTATATCTATGCTGTTGGAGATATACTGCAGGACAAGCTGGAGCTCACACCAGTGGCAATCCAGGCAGGAAGATTGTTAGTTAAAAGGCTTTATGCCGGGGCAACCACTAAGGTAAGGAACCAGCTACTGCAAAACACTGTCATTGCTCTACTTCTGAGAGCAGAGTGGAAGTCTGCTTGTTTATGGAAAACTCAGCAAGCTTTTAAGCCTTAGCTTTGATGATCACTTTAATTTTCCCCTTGGAAAGATATTACTGCAGATATGTTCTGCTAATTGTGTAGGATGAAATTAATACCTTATGGATTAAGCAGTAGTCTCTTTTTTTCCTATTAAGAGGTTTCATTTTTCTCTCAGAGTATAATGGTATTAAAATTAACTGTGATCATTTAACTTGTTTTTAACTCTACTGCCTTTCCTAAAAGTCAGTAGTCATTCCTGTCCCATTAAGTGCTTTAACTTTAATTCATGGGCAGTTTACTAAACCTACGTATGGTCCATAAATAGAGCGTAGTAGGGTTTGTGGTGCTCTTCATTTCACATGTTATTTCCACTCATTTTTTCACTTCTCATCTGTATGTTTTCAATGGAATACCTAGTTCTGCTCAAAATTGAATACGGACACAAAGGAAGATCAAATGTACCAATAAGCCAGCACATACTTATACCTGAGAAGTTGAATGCATCAGTTCAGTGTTTACATTTAATATACTAGTGCTATTATAGGTTTCAGTCACATCATACTAGTCCAAAAAAGTGTGACATGGGTACTCATTTGCACCTTATCCTTAAGCCAGAAGGAAAGGAGAGTGCCTTTAAAGAGCTGTTATCCAGGCATCATTGTTGTGGGTGCTTGTCTCGCCTTCATAACCATAGGGCACAAGCATAAAGGTATTTCTCTTTTAGAGCCTGCTGTATTCATATCGAGTTCAGCTGCCGGCCAGATTTAGAGCTTGATGGATTTGTTTGTTTTAGGTTGGCAAGTATTGCAGTAAGAGAATCCTGAATCAGTGTGCATAAAGTCATTACATCAGCCAGGCAGAGTTTAAGAAAACCATAGCTGGAGCCAAGTTATTTTCTTTTTTTTTTTGTGCTGCAATACTATGGATATGCTGCAATTTGCACTTTATGCCAGATAACTGTCTCTCAAGGTATGAAAATCCTTATGCTGCCAAAGAAAGCATCATCTCTTCCAGTTAATCCAAGAAATGAGTAACTACTTAGATGGGATCCTGGTGTATGTTGCTGTTGTAAAAAATCTGGAAAGGGTGATGGTATGAAACATAATGAAGTGGTGTGGATAGGTGGGGAAAGAATAGTAAGCAGCATCTTAGTTGATCTCCAGTCACAAAGGAAATTAGAGTTGAAACCTGTAGAAATTAAAATCACCAGATATTAAATAGAGTTGACCAGCCTGGCTATGACAGGATGACTAATTTGGTGGATACGGGGACAGCAGTGGATGTTTTTTACTTTGACTCTAGTAAGGTTTTTGACACTGTTTCCTGTAACATTCTCATAGACAGACCCGTGAAGTGCAGGCTGGATAAGTGGACAGTGAGGTGGATTGAAAACTGACTGAACTGCCAGGCTTAAAGGGCTGTGACCAGCACTACAAATACCAGCTGAAGGCCAGTCACTGGTGGTGTGCCACAGCGTTGGATACTCGGTCCAGCACTGTTTAATGTCTTCAGTAATGATCTGGATGATGAGACAGAGTTGCACCCTCACCAAGTTTGCAGATTATACAAAACCAGGGGGAAGTGACTGATGCACCAAATGTTTGTGCTGTCACTCAGAGAGACCTGGTTCAAGCTGGAGAAATGAGCTGACAGGAGTCTTAGGGAGTTCAACAAGGAGAAGTGCCAGATCCTGTGCCTGGGGAGGTGTAATGTACCCTCATGGCAAAGAAGGCCAATGATGTCCTGGGATGCACCCTGCAGATGCACCCTGGCAGAGCATTGCCAGCAGGTGGAGGGAAGTAATCTTTTTGCCTCCACTTGGCTCTGATGAGACAGGTTTGGATTTTGTGTCCAGTTTTGGGCTCCCCAGTATGAGAAGGACAGGGCAAGTCCAGCAAAGAGCCATGACTGTGATTAGGGGACTGGAGCATCTGGCACATGAGGAGAGACAGAGACAGCTGTGAATTTCTGTACCCTGCAGAAGAGATGACTTGGTGGGCTCTTATACTGATATGAATTTATACCTCATGGTAGAGAGTGAAGGGGATGGAGCCAGACTCCTTTCAGTGCTACAAAATGCAAGGACAAGAGGCAATGGCTTCAAACTGAAACACAGGAAAATTCCATTTAAACTTAAGAAAAGAATTCTTTACAGTGAGAGTGGTCAGGCCTAGAGGTTGCCCAGGGAGGGAACCTCTGGCACATTGTGAAGCTCCAGTGAAGGCAGGGGTCAGTGTTTGCCCACATGGGATGTGATGAGGCGCACGGTGTCAGCTCTGCTTCTGGCTGTTCCCCAGATGGCTGTAGTTCATGTCTTTGGTTCTTCGGCATCGCTTAGGCCACAGTTGGTAAAAAAGATGATGGGTTTTGATGCTGGTGGTGTCTTTGCAGCATTCCCAGCTGAAAATAGCGTGCTTTGTAGAGCCTGGTGAACGGTCTACTTTTTATCTGTTTTAAAAATATACCAGACCTTTGATCTGGTACATTTTTAGAACAGGGCACTGAATTTCCTCTTCCTCTTAATCTACGCATGTTAACGTCAGTGTGCCTTTAAGCTGCCTTTCTATTCTTGCTCTAGTTAATGCCTCTGAGAGGGACACCATCAAAACTGTAGTTTTCACAGTTTTTTAAAATTAAAGATAAAGTAGCTTCTGAATTCTAAATAATTCAACTTTTCTTCCCATCTGAATTTCAGACTGCTGAATTTTTACCCGTTTTGCTGACTTTATTCCTGATGTTGTGTGGTTTTGTTGTTTGTTTTGAATACTGCACAGTGTGACTATGTGAATGTTCCAACCACCGTATTCACTCCTTTGGAGTACGGAGCCTGTGGCTATTCTGAAGAGGCTGCGGTGGAGAAGTTTGGGGAGGAAAACATTGAGGTAAATGCCCTTAGTTTCCTCTGGATTTTAAGTTCCTAATTTGTCATTTAAAATAATGTTAAGAGTTGATTAAAACAGCATTCTGTGTTCTGATGTAAAGGTAGGAGGCGCCTAGGTAAATTTTTGTCTTCCTTCACAGTTCCTAGACATGTTATAAAAATAGTCCCCAATTCCAATAGCTCTAGTTGCAAATATGTTCTATTTTTGGCAAACAGTGCTTGAAGGTGGAACATTTGGTTAAAAAAAAGAAAGGTTTCTTTGTGTCTGCAAATACTTCAGGGTAAATTAAAGCTGGTTATGTGTTAGAAGCAATACATCGGTTTTAATGTCAAAGTGGAGCTATGGTGTGGTAAATTCCATGCCACAGTGATTTTTACTTTATAAAGCCAAATGTTGTTATGCTCATTTTTCCTGTTTATTTTGACTGTGCAGGGAGGTATGTGCTTAATTTTACTCATGAGAGTGATCCCTTGTCACTCATGGGGATTGCTGATCAGGAGTGAAATTAGACATATGTAAGCACTTAGTGCCTGAGGTTCTTCTTACAAAATACTGTACAGACTACGTTACAGAAAGCATGAGGGGAGGGAGTCTGACAAGAAAGTGAACTTTGATGTCCTATAAAGGTCACCTGAGGAGCATTATTTGGGCAAATAAGCAGATAAGTGGTGGTTCATGAAGATGGGGACTTGTCTCCCTCTTAACTTTGTCAATTATATTTTTTTTTACTTGGACCGCGGAGAAAAGAAGTAAATATGACTTAAAATGGCAGTGTGTCATGTACTGTTAACCTGATTACAGGGCATGGGTTTAAATTCTGTTTGTATATACAGTGATTTTTGGTTTTGTTATTCATTTAAGTTCTTGTTACATGTGTAACACTGGACCCTTCTTCGTGGAAAATGCACTTTCCATTTTCCAAGCCATTTTTGCATCCAGAAGCATTTGTATTGTGGCTGAGCCCTAATTTAGTTTATTCTAACCTCTGTCATGTCACTATATTGACTTTTGCAAGTTTCAGTGGCATTATTGAGCTGCATCTGTCATTCAGACCTGTTAAATTTCAGATTCAGATAGCAATGCTGATAAATGCTTTGTAACCCCATTAATATGGAAAAAGCATTGAGCTGTCTCTCCCAGTTTGTGAAGGGACATATTTTTATTTGATTTCTGATCAATTAAAAACTTCTTTAAAATAGTAATCAATCTGAGGTTAGCTTGTAATGGGAGCAGTTGAGAGGTAGAGCTGTGCCCCAAAACACGCTTTTTCGGAGATCGGTGCTGTATAGGTGGGTGAGCAGCCTTGCCTGCAGTTAGGAATCTGTCCAGTGGTGTTGGCTGGGGCAGATAGAAGAATGTGGTTTTGTTTTTGTGGGGGTTTTTTTTGTGTGTTTGGGTTTTTTGTTTGGTTTTTTGTTTGTTTTTAATGTACTTTCCATTTTACAGAGATACATAATCTAAGAGAGCACACAAAAAGCATGTCCTCCTCTCTCTTACACCCAAGCTCTGAGGCTATTTCTTCCCTCTTTCTGCTCTGAGGAAATGCTTTTGCCTTCATTCTGGGTAAACTCAGAGACCATACAGTCACCCATGAGGGAAGCTTGTATTTGTCTACTCTAATGGGAACGTGCTGAATTGCGTCCTGGAAGTGTAATACACTCATGGCTTATTTATTTTTTAATTTTTGGATGACACTGTTTTGTAGATGCTTCCTTCTTTGGTGTTCATCAAGGGGAAAAAGTCTCACCCTGATCTCAAATATTGCAAGTGCCACATGTATGGTTGGTTGCTAATCAAGAGCTATTAATTAACAGTTCATCCCTGTGCTGTGTCACGACTGCCGAAAGCTTTTACATGTGTGGTTTCCAAAAGCAATTGCAGTCAGTAGGAAAGCTCAGCCTTTGGAGGTAGATGAGGCAAATTTAAGATAATCTGGCAGGTTTTGGAAGATCATGCTCTCTGCTGTGAAATTACACATTTTTTTAAATCCTTGTTTGTTGTTTTTTTTTAACCTGTGATGTATTTCTAGGTGTACCATAGTAATTTCTGGCCACTGGAATGGACCGTGCCATCCAGAGACAACAACAAATGCTATGCCAAGATAATTTGCAATATTCAAGATAACGTAAGTGCATCTTTTCATCCAGGGAAAATGGCAGCTATACATTCATCATCAGGGACCATTGATAGCACAGCTATAAATAGGTTCTTTTTAACAAATTAAAATTATTTAAAATTTTTCTACCTTTTGAAATGTAGTAAGTATTTACATATTTATATATTTATACAATACTTTTGTTTATACAAAAATGACCCTTAGTATAACAGAAGACTCTGTCTTTGCTATTGGTATATGGTACCTTTTCCATATATGTAAAATAAGAAGTAGAGATCTCTAAGAGTATTCATTAACTTTGAAAAGCTAGTGAATCGATGCATGTAAAAATGGTCAGAAGTTTTACCGGTTTATCTTATTCTCCCTCCCCCAAGCTGGGACATTTTTTTCTGGGATATTCTTCTCTGAAATTGAGGTCACTCGGAAACCATCACAACTTGTAACCTCTGCAAATCCACGTGTGTCCGTAAAACTCTTGAGCTCGTTCTAACAGGATTAATGTATCTCGCCTGCACAAATCTCATTTAGTGTGATAATGCCAGGATTATCCTTCAGCTAGGGTAAGATTTCCTAGCAATGGAAATGTACAGTACCTGCTGGAGCACAAGCAAAATGACTAATTGGTTAAAAGAATTGGTATGCCCTTCTCTGAATGATCGTCACCTGTTTAATAAAAAAGTAGTTTATTTTAATAATACTCATTATTACAAAGTTAAATGTTTTCTTTTATCATGGGATACAGATTTACCTTCCTGCAGTCTTTCTAAGCATCACATCACTATTTTGTAAAATTTGCAAACCTGTCTGGTTTTGCCAATCTCCTTTCTTCTGAAGGAATTTGCACTAACGTGGAAGGTATTTTACAACCCGTGGTTATGTCCCTAATCCAAAGTTACTGAAGAAAAGGAAAAGGCTTAATGGTGTTTTAAAGTGTTTCATTAATTTGTTTACATTTCTTGTCCTGAAAATTTGGAACATGTTTCTAGGGGTAGAGTTGAAAATTACCGTGGATGAAAAATAGCTTGGTAACTATTTAAAACTGTAGGTACCTCAGTTTCATGACTATGGTTTTATTTTTGCATATGTCCATATTTTTAAAGGAAAATAAGACCAATTCCATTCTGGTTATTATCTAAGTATAGATTTTCTTATTTAAGTAAACCCTGTGGTAAGTCTCAGTCCTCGGGCTTGCTGTAAGAAAAGTAACCTTTCAGTGTACTGAGTATCCACACTCCTTATGTGATATTTAGTGGGAGGAGCAGGGAACTTTTGATACCCAACTGGGCTATGTCTATGCTCAGCAAAATCTGCCTAATGCTCTGAAAGCCACCGAAGCCCACAGCAGTTGGCATTTGCTAAAGGAGACTTGCTTTTCTTAGAGAAGCAAGTTTTTCTTTAAGAAAGAAAAGTACAGCTTGTTCTGTTGAGTGTTTGCAGAGGATACATGTGCAGTTTGACATATTTTGCAGTTGAACAGCAGCATAAATTTAAGAAGTGTGTGAAGTAATAGCATCGTCCATGTCACTGGATGTCTTTCAGTTTCCTTTGACATTGTCTGGGTATATTCTCTCCCAGTGACAGCAAACACTGCAATAAGAGTAATCGTCAGTTTAGTTACAGTTTGCTTCTTGCCATATCTGGTGAGCCAGAACTTTACCTTGTGGCCTTTTCCTATAAGCAGCTGCCAAACTGAAATGTCTTCAATAGGCACACACCAGCTTAGGTCCCAATGTTGCAAATCTTCTTTTCAGAGAGAACAGAATTATACCCACTATCTCCCGTCTCTTGGTGCTAGTAATAGTTAACATTTGTGTGGTTACATTCATTTGTGGTGTGTTTTGTGAACTGATTAAATTATATACTCTGAGTAAGAAAATCTTACTCGTTGTTTAAAGAGAGCTGAAAGCCTGACTGTGCTTTTATTTGATTACCTTTGGTGTTTAGGAGAGAGTCATTGGTTTCCACGTCCTTGGTCCAAATGCTGGAGAAGTCACCCAAGGGTTTGCAGCTGCTATGAAATGTGGGTTGACAAAAGAACAGCTGGACACCACCATAGGAATTCACCCTGTCTGTGCAGAGGTTTGTATATGAAGTCACCTCGTATCTCAGCTTTCGTAGCCTTCGGGGCTGAGGTGTTGGAAACCTGAATAGCAGAGCTCTATTCATCAGCTCAGAATTTGGGAGAATGTAGGAGGGAGGAAAGAACAGGAAATTATCTGGTTTTAATATTTTAAAATCTAACATTTAGGTTTAATCAGGGAAATTATTTTTAGTGTGTTAATTTGTGAAATGTTTACAGTCTCCCCTAATCCAGTGCTCCCTCTGCTGGGAAGTATTGAATTTTCCTTCCACTCAAAGATCCATTTATGAAGGCTTCGAATACTATTTCAGCTAAAGTGGTTGTCAAAGCTTATTTTTTTTTTTCAGATACATGTACTCAAAATAGGTGTACACACTGGTGCTCTGGAAGGGGACCAGCTATGTGACAATTATTTCTATTAAATTCTTCCCTTTTAAAGATCTCACCTTCATTCTCTAGGCCTTCACTTTTGAAGTGAAATACACAAGGCCACACAAACATTTTTTTTCTTGTGTTGTCTTGCTGTTCCAATTTATTAAAAAGCTTAATTTTCATTAGTGGGTGAGGGAAAGCTCCTTTCAGGTATAAACCAGAGATGCTCCACTGATTTTAATAGTATTTGGACCAGTTATATGAGCTAGGATCCCTGCACAAACTGTGTAATCACCCTTGTATGTCTTTGTACTGAATCTGTCTTTTTACCTGCATGTGTTAGCTACAAAGTTTTAATAGAGAGCACGAGGATGGTGATCTGCAGAAGTGAAGTCTGCTTCTCATTTTATGTTTCCAAAATGATACGGTATGGGCAATATAATATGAACTCCATTAATGGAATGGACTGCCAGCAGTCTGAATCATCTTCAAAGCATCCACAGTATTCTGTTTGGGGTTTTTTTTTTGTAGTATCATCTAAAGGTGTTCTTGGGAACCCCCAAAGAGGGGTAGCAGGTCCTTATCTTACCAGGGGCCCTGTGGAGGGGCAACTCCTGAGTGAAGCATTCAAACCTGTGAACTCAAGCGGGATATTAGCATATGCAGTGTGAAGAGGGGATGACAGTCATAATTTATTCTGGACATCTGAGCTGCTAAAATTGAAGCTGAATAGCATGATGATTAGACATAATTTAGGGAGGTAATTTCAGATACTCATATTTGTTTGAGTGGGGGAGGAAGAAATTGGCCCAGGAGGAATTGACTATTTAAAAGCTCCAGGGAAGAGCGATCATTTTTCGTGCCAGTCTTCGAAAGGGTTTTTTTTATGCCTGTTACTTAATTTAATCTCTTCAACAGTAAACAAAAATCAAAGTGCAAGATGGTACTCTTTGATTTAAAAAATGCTAAAAAGTTGTTTGGAATTTGTGAGGACTGTGCATATCTGGATGAATAGAATGAGAATATTGGCATTATTTTTATCTTGCATCCACGTAAAAACCAAGGAACATGACGGCTGTTCTGAGCAGGAAAAGTGACAGTGTTGCAAGGTCAAATGCTGACATCTTCACTGGCATCAGTGCTAATTAACTGCATAAAGTGTCTTCTGTGAAACATGGTATTACTCAACCTGAAGAACACTGTAAGACTGAGGGCCCCATTTCTGACGGCTTACAAATTAGAGCCAAATTTCACTGGCTTTCTCTTATTTGAGCAGCATTTTATTCTGCAGAAAACAGGAGTTCTGACTGGAATTTCTTGCAAGGCAAAGCACAAATAACTGTGAGCACAGAGTTGAGAGGACCTCAGCCTTACAGAGCATCACCTCTCAGCCTAAACTGTGCTGCACTGCTTGAAATATAGGCGTGTATGATTGAGCATCTGTGATGAAGAGAAATGTCTTCCGAAAGCTGGGGTGATTAGCAAATGGGGTATACAAATGACGGCTGTCCAGCCATTGGATCTAAGGTTTTGTCTTCACTCAAATACCTAACAATTCTGTCAAAAACCTCATGTTTCCAGTGATTATCGAATGACTCCCAGCTGCCTTACTAAAGTTAGGGAGCTGTGTAGTCCCCACAGCCATTGGAACTGACTCACACACCCTGAGCCTGCAGTCAGGCCGAGAAGGCAGATGCATTTTGCACTTTTAAATCTGTGTCTTTCAAAGTGAAATAACAATAAACAAATATTCCAGTGTGTTGCCAGTCTGTGGATCAGAACTGAAGAGTTGGAAACCCTGTCTCAAGCCATGCAGTATAGTTTAAATATGTTGCTGTTCTTCTGCCATATATATTATTTGTCTTCCTGATTTGTGCGTAGTTTTACACGCTTATAGGAAGTGGAAGAGGTGTAGCATTTTTTGATGTTGCTCTCTGAAGAGCTGCTAGCAGCCTTAATGCAGCAAAGCTTCCACTTAGAGAACTGTAGGGCTTTCAGTATCTTTGGGTACTTCAGTGTTATTTGCGTAACTGAAATGTGTATATACTTTATTCTGCGCTACGTTTATTCTTCCTGAGAGATGGCTTTGATGATAGCTAATTATTGCAACTTTGAACCATTTAGATAGAAGTGGGTTTGATTTCCTTTTTTCCTTTCTATGTTATATATATGCAAAGCTATGCAATTATTTGCATAGTAAAGTTCTAATATTAAACAAGGTTTTGTAGAATTTTTCTTCCTCAATTTTGATACCTTTTAATTTTACAGTAATTATCTTTAATGTGTTGTTTTCTTTAACATTACTTGAAAGCATTAAAGATTTGACATTTTCAAACTAGGTTAATAAGTGTTTCTGAGCTATTATCCAGAGGATACAAATCCCAGACATAATACCTATATCAGCAATCAGTTCCACATTTCTATAATAGCTAGAAAGGTACAGAGGTAAAAGTTATGTTCTCTCCAAATGTCGTAGCCTTGGGTTAACTTCACTTTCCCAATAAAGAAGGTACCTTTGAGCCATAAGAACACTTACTCTTTTGATGTACAGACTGGAGTTTATTATTGCTGAGCTTGTTCTCACTGTAAAAACTTAGGAGCATTAAGACAAAAGATGGCAGAAAACCATGTGACTTCCTAATTCTTTCTGTGCCACTGTAAAAGGAAGACCATAAGATAAATAAAGAGAACAATGTGCTATTTAGTGTCGAGGATTTCAAATGTATGTTTTTCATTATTACTTTATTACTTTAAGAAACGACTGGGGTTTTCAGCATTCTGCCCAAGTTGATCTTCTGGAAAAGAAAATGCATTCTAGCCATACTAAAAGTAATCTTTTTTTTCTTTCTTTCTCTTAAGATATTCACCACCCTGTCTGTGACAAAGCGTTCTGGTGAAAGCATCCTTCAATCCGGATGCTGAGGTTAAAGATCCCCATTCTTGTTATTGCCAGAGACTGACTTTCATCACAGTGGCTGACTTCTGCAAGTCAGAAAGAAGATTTTGGGAGAAGTCATCATTGGACACCTGCAGAAACGTGCAGATCTTAACCATCATCCTAAGGAGCAGAGCACTGTGGGAGTTGGTCACTTGTGGTGATTGGCTGGCAATTAGCAACGCAATGGGAATATTGACTGTGGAGCTGTAGCTTAGCAGGGCATTTATCGAGTGCCTTCATGAAATCATAGCCCGAAGCCTGCATTGCCTGGTGGGCAGTGATGGAAAAACTGCTGGCACAGCTGGACAACAACTGGTTTGCTTTGGGTTTATTCCTCTCTAGTTTCTTACCTAAAGAGCAAAGAACTTCCAAACTGAAGAGCATTACCAAAAGTTCAGATGATTGTAGAGCGCCCCTGTGTACCAGATCATAAGACAGCAATTGCAAGGTCTCCTCATGAGCATTTTACTTCTCAGGAGTCTCCTCATCTCCTCGTTTTACCAGCTGACGTGCCTATGGAGGGGAAGTTGTATCTACATGCCTTGATCATGAGGAAGAAGATACTCCTGAAAAAGAGTTTAGTACCACCTAGAATATTTCTTGGCTTCCAAACTGACTCCATTCACAGATACTTATTTTTGAAAATTTTCTCCTTTGTAAGAAAGGAAAATACTTTTTATTAAGGTCATGTTATACAGAAACTTGTTTGGGTTTTTTTTCCCCTGACACTGGCAACTGTGCATATAATGCAGTTGTGATCATCTTATCTTTATCTTTCAGTTTACATGGTTATAATTAATCCAATTAGGAACAGACAGAATTCCACTTTGAAATAAATTATAATCCCAAGAGCTCTGTGCAGCTTTATTCAGTTTGAATAAATTCTTCCTTTCCAGGTGAGCTATCATACGGTGCACTGTTTTGGGTCTAAATTTGCCACTGTGAATACAGCATTACTATGATTTTTTTCTTCAGATTAGTGGAGCTGTAGATTAAAAAAAACAACCAACCAAACCGCCCCCCCCCCAGCCAACAAACAAGCAAACAAAGCCCCTGCCCAACCTCCAAAAAACAACAGTAAAAAATCTTCTACTTAGATATGGCCTAAAAGCTGTATTGTATTCCATGTGTGCTTTGTTTTAGATTTAATTAAGAAAACAATAATTTTAAAACAGAGGTTTCTGTGAAAAATAACGAATTTTTGAATATTCCTCCTGTGTTGGTTAAACCTGCATCCATATTTACCTAGAAATGGTAAAAATGTCTCTTTGCAATGGAAATGAACATGCTTTTTCATCTGGTTTTTCATTTCCCTCTGTTTTACAAGAAGTTCAGATTACCTTTATTAAATGGTTCTTGGGAGTTCACTAGTGCGGTGTGAATAGGGGGTAAATTATCCAGCCCTCTGGGCAGAATGCCTTAGGCCTAAATTTCTACCTGGTAAAAAAATTCACATCTTTCTACTGAGATTTCTAGAACGGTGGTGTAGGTTATTTTTATAAACTCATACATAACCAAAGGATTTTTAAACATGTTTTGTATGGTATCAAGAATGGTTGGACAGTGGTATTTTTCTGGCCAGTTTATTAAATAAATTTAATATTTGCACAAATTGATGCTCATTTTGATGCCTCTTCCAAGCAAATAAACCAGGTAACAGCAAGACAACTTTTTTTAAAGGCCAGAAGAGGGCACCTTCATAAACCCAGCCGTGATTTATTTTGATATTTTGCATTTTGAAGGTAGATATTTCTCTGAGAAATGGGATTCGGGGCTGTTTTATGTGCATTTTTTTGCATGTTAAACATATGGGAAGGACATACTTAAAAATAGGGAATGAATTAGAAAACCAACCTTACTTCCACTCTTTTCTTTAGCCGCCAACTTCTGAAAACCCAGGAGTACAGGTTGCTGAGCTGTTCGTGTTTAAGCACATGGATAGCAGCATTATCTTCAGTCAAGTCTGTAAGGAAGTCAGATCCTGAAGCATAGGGAATAAAAGCATCTATGAGCTTGGTTTTGCAAGATTTGGCCCACAGGTATGTGTTCCTGTGGGTCATGTCATCATTAATAATGGGCATTGTTATACTTCAGATTTAGTAGTTGTTGGTTTTAATTACTTTAAATTTAAAACTAGGAGGCTTTTTTTTGGTAGGGCTTTTTCCAGAAGAAAAACATTTTCTGGTGTGTTTTTCTGTGTTGATCTGTGCATGATGATAGAGATACATAATATATGGTAACATCACATAAGGATGCATTAAATGCCAAAGCAAAGTATTTAATGTTTATATCCAATTAAACAGACATTTGGTAATGCATGCTTTGGAACTATATACTAGAAAATGTAATAAGTTAAACGATGTTTATATTCAGCTCATATCCATTAGTTATTCATATTTTTTTGGAACTCTTGCCAGAATGTAAGTGCAAATCATCATAAGATATTACAGATGAAAATGCAGAGAGCAAATTTCACGAACTTCAGTGTGGAATTAGTTGAGTTTCCCTGACACCTCCAAGAATTACTTCTTTTTTTTTGTTTGTTTTAAGTTCCCCCATCTCAGTTGATGATTCCCTTTTTACCCCTCTCCCCTTGGTGAGAGTTGTAGGAGTAAGTCTCATATTCAATTTTGCATCCTGCCTTCCCTCCTTCAAGATCTGCTGCCTTCCTGGAGTCCCAGCGCAGGAGACTCTCAACTTGTAGAGCCGTAGGATGGGGCAGGACCAGTTTTGGACAAGGTGGATCTGCTGAAGACTCCTCTGGAGGTTTCACGATGGGGTCGGTGTCTTGTGGGAGGACCTTGCACTGATGAAGCCTGCCGATGGTCATGTCCCTGGCTGTGTCATGGCAGCACATCCCTTGCTCTGCGATGCTGCGTGGCAGCTGGTGGATGACGGCAGGAGAAAAGCCATGGCTGTATGCTGCTGGTGCACGCCGTGCCAATGCGAGAGTGTGAAGAAGGGGCCAGATGGCTGAGTCTTTTTATGTAAAACGTGATAGACGCCTTTCAGGTCAAAGTACGGAGTAAGTGTTTGGGGTAAAATGGCAGCTCTGCCGAGAGTGAAGTTTCAGGAGCCTTTTCTCTTTGAAGACTGGCTTTTCTGATTGCTCAGTTGGCCTCTGTGTGGGATGGTGCGAGACTGCTTTCTTGACAAGGCCTATTTGGCCTCCAGAGATAAATTAAACCTAAAAAAAAACCCCAGAAGGCACCAAGGGATCTACGACACCACTAGCCTCCCTTCTGTGTGCACAGCATGGGAAAGGTGTCCTGAAAGATTTCTGACCCAGAGGCACTGCTTGTGTCAGCATGGGGTTTATTTTGGGGGGCTGTTGGCAGGGAGGTGAGAGTGGAGCAGGGGCTTGGGCATTTACCAGAGAGGTTGTGCGGGGCTGTGGTGTGAGGTGGGAAGGGTCATAGATGGGGAAAGGAGAAGGCACAGTGCAGGGCAGCAGCTGCGATGTTCTCCATGAAGGGACTAACAGACAGCTTGGAGGGACACGCAGCTGAGAGCTCTCCCCAGAGACCACTGAGCTTGGGAAATGCAGGAGGGTCTCTGCAGTGGTGCGGTGCCTTTCGGCTGGGCCCATCCTGCAGGGCTTGTGCAAGCCTGCAGGTCTGAACCACCCGTTTTGCCAGGCTGGGAGGTTGTGACCAACCCCAATGGTGGCTCCAGAAAGTGCTTGTCGCTGAAGGGCGAGGGGGACACCACCAGGTGCCCTCAGCGGGACACTCCTTTCCCTCCCCACGCTGGGTGAAAGCTGCCCTTTTGGAGGTGAGAAGGTGACCTCATTCTGAGGGACTGCGAGGCCTCGGAGGCAGATGGCTGATCCCACACACTTGCTGCTGGTGCCCAAAGGAATGGCTGCCTGTACTGAGGCAAGATGGCTGTGACCTTCTGATCCATCATCTTGTCCCAGTGAAAGGCATGGCCCGTGGGCTTCCAGGCCTTGCTCAGCCCCACATGGCGAGGGTCAGGCTTGCCCTAAGGACTCACCCTACCACAGAAGCTGTGCTAGGGGATGCCAGATGCTGCTGATGAGTGAGTGCCACTTCAGCGGGGGAGCACCTGCACTTCCTGCAGGGATCCAGGGAGTCACCAGGTTTCAGGCACTCATTTACCCCCTGCATGGGTCCCTGTTTCCACCCCTCTTGCTCTGCTCCTGTGCTCCAGGCAGAGGTCTGCTGGGTTGCTGTTTTTTCCATTTTTATGTTGGGGAAAAATTACATATTTGTTTTCCTTTTATTTGCCAAATGCTCCTGACCTGTGTTCTGCTGGGCAGAATTTGACTTTACACATGTGAGTTCTTTTTCAGTCAATCACCCTTTTTATCTCTCTCTTCCCATGAAATCTTCCTAGTTACAGACTTGTCTGAGGGAGTTCTCCCACAGCGTTTCTACCTTTTAAATTTACAAACTAAACTGACACACAGGGGGATATATATATCAAGACACAGAGGGAAGGCTGCATTTAGGTTTGACCCAGAGTTGGTCTTCCCACTCTGGGACTTCTGCTATGTTTTATAT